TCTTGTATACAGTTTGTCAATTATCTCGTGAAAGTGTTCATTTTCATATTCAAATTGTAGATATTATTCCTTTCTTTACTAACCACATTGTCATAGGTATAGCTATTTATACACTATTATAACATTGTAAATAGTAGTCACTTTCTACACTAAACTGTTCCCTACCTTTACTTATGTACCACTCTTTTTATTGTATCTATGTCTTTTTTTGTGTTTTTTTTCATAAATCTATAAAGTGTTATTTAATGATTAAAACTGAATTAAGTGTACAGAACTTTCACTCAAATATGCTAACTTTGTACTATGGCCGTAAGGCTTCAATACATGAATAAAGATTATTATTATTATTATAGATGGACAATCATCATTTTTGAAATTAGCTTCAACATCATTTATATAAAATGAAAAACGTAGTAGTTATAAAATTTCACCTTGAAAAAGTTCGGTATTACAGTTAAAAATATCAGATAAGTCACTTTGGTATTTAACCCGACATTTAACTTTATCATACAGTGAACGAATTAGTTTTAGAATTTTACCATCAATTCCTTCTTGGATTAATTTGTACCAAAGACTAGAGCGATGAACAAAATCAAATGATTTTGAGTAATCAATAAAACAACAATAAAGACGGTTTTTTACGTTTTAATGTACAATTAATTAATGTTTGTAAAACAAATATGGCGTCTATAGTGGATAGACCTTTTCGAAAACCAAATTGTGAATTTGTTCACTCGGCAAACCTCGGCAGATTCCGGTACGCCACATCTAACCTCGGCTGTATGATAGTAATTGATATGTACCTACGCCCATACATTTGCGATGCGGCTACCGGTTTACTTTAACAGGAAAACGTGCCGCGTTTACAAAAAATCCCAAAATGGCGTCTTTTGTCGAGTGTATAAGTAAACGAGCAGAGATATTGTCTCAAGGCTGCTGGTTTGATATAATTCCCTGGTAATTACCCAAACCCAATGCCAAACTTGACGTTTGTTGATATAATACACTCTCCACAGAAATCTCCATGGGCGCAGCCATTTTTCATCCGGGACCTTTAAAATTGTTCCAATATGGAGGAATTCGTCATACAGCCGAGATTAGATGCGTAGAATTTGTCCAGGTTTGCCGAATGTGAATTTGTTATGACGTTATTAAGTTTATCAAATGTTAATATCCTTGTATTAAGACCTGATGTAAAAAGTCTACCGAGGCAACTTAATAAGGCGATACCTATGTAATTGTCGGGTGTATTGTTTTCACCTTTCTTGTGTACTGGCACAATGTTACCTACCTATACACCATGATGTTGGAAAACATCCAGAGCTTAATATATTATTGATATAATAGTAGACAAGCTAATAATGTATACATAATTCATTTAAAATGTTATCATTGCCGCATGCTTTACCAGCTTTTAAATGTTTAATGGCTTCGAGTATTTCACTACCTTTAATAGGCCTATCAATTAGACAATATCTGCAATCAGAGAATCATTGATACTCAAATAATTATCATGAATATATAAGTAATCGTCGACAGTTCGGTTATTATTTGTAGAAAAGTTCTTTGGAAGATTTTTGAAGTGTTCGTGAAACTAGTTAATTCCAATGGAGGGGTTTTAAGTGTTGTTTTTTTCTTTTTAAATATTTTATGGAAGGTGCCTGGATTGTACTTACGTACGTAATTCAGCATATTAACTTGTTGAGTCCTATAGGTTCGTTTAAGTTTAAATTCCATGTTTTTGTAATTTAGTTTGGCTGTTGATAATGATAGATTTAATCGATTTTCTAAACATTTGTTTCTTTTAAAGACATTTAAAGCATGTTTAGAATTTTTGTACAATTTATCGCATGCAGTATCAAACCATGGTTTGTTACATTTATTAGGATTTTTTGTGATGGTTTTTAATAAACGATTCGGTACAATATGGGGATAGCAGTTCAGATAATTTGTTAGAAAATGTATCTGTACATGAGTCAATTAAAGTCTGATTTGAGTAATTAAGAAAACAATTATCTAGAAATATCATAATTAGTTGAGGTTCTACTGTTGAGATAACCTTTTACAATTCTACTGTAGCCTGTCATATGATTATAGTGAAAACATCTGTTAATGAAAGCTGATTTTATTGTGTAGTTCATTCATTCAATATCATTAATGCAAGTATAATTATACTTAATCAACTTATACCACAACCGAATTTACTATAAACTGGCATAGGTTTTTGATACAAATCAGACGAGCTTTGGATATTCATCAGAGAAGGGTTTCTCATATATTTAGTATACCATTGTATATGTTATAACAAAATATTAAATCCAGATCAACTTTTATTTCTGTTAACCCAAACAAGGTTATACTTTTCTTCGCGTTGTAAACCTTTTCTCCGCTGAGAAAAGGTTTTTCATGTTTTTTGATTTATCATAGTGTTCACTGCCATTTCTCACATGAGGTAAATTTCATGAAAATTGTATAATTCAACGTATGACACTAAAAGGCCACCGTACAAACCATATATTATCTTATTATATGTTTTGTTGAATTGGTATATAAACAGATTAACACTCCGTGTGAGATATTTCTTTCAAATATTGTGAATGGGTTGGCAATAAAATTGAAATTATCATTGTGTTATTAAACATTGAGTATTCTTATTCTGTTCTGTAGTCGTCTCAACATGTTGATGTCACGCTTTACGTCTGCTAATGTGTGTCCTCGATAATGATCACCCACACACACTCACCCACACATACACGCAAATAGACAGGGGTGTTTTGAAATAAATATAATGAAAATTTCATTCAAGTAACTTAATACTCTTAATGATGTTATCACTTCTTTGGGGGGGGGGGGTGGATGGCCGAATGGTTAGCACGTGCGTGCTGTATCATACGACCTGTCATTGAGTCAACTGGCGTGGTTTCGAATCCCCGGTTGTACGTGACGAGGAGTAGGGATCGCCTTTCCAACCACGTGGGTTTTCTCCGGGTCCTCTGGTTTCCTCCCACTGCTAAAGACCCCTACCCGCAAGCGAATTATTGAAATAAAATTAAACCATATGTTAGTCCCCAAATGACCTAGTTTGTGTCGAGTTGACTTTAAACTCCATTTCTCTCTCTCTCTCTCTCCCGTTATCACTTCTTGAAGATGTAGCGTAAATTGTTTATTATGGAAGCAACTGTACTTAACAATCGAGACTAAATCAAGATAATCCATTTTTAAATCAAATTATGATATGGCGATGGTATTTCGATCATCCAATGATCTAGATAGGTGAATATTGGCTTGTCATATGAATAACTATCTAATTTATATATTGTAACAAAGGGCTCCATTACTTTCATCAAATTGAGACTATGTTCGCTAATATAAAATATTAACATTTATTTAGATGTACTGAACCGCCCGTGTGTTTGATTATATATGACGTAGGCTTCTAACCTCTACATAAGCACGTATTTGTTGTGTTTAATTACAGACATGTCATTTGTTAGCAAATTGACCGCTAAAACCCCCACCCCAACCTCTTCAACCAATCCGCCCATTCCGTAACCCATCATTGGGATAAACACAAATACTAGTTAGATACAATCTAATCGGATGCCTCAAAACTAAATACAAATTCACAGCTGATTTTTAAAATCAAAACCAATGAATTTTGTCGTAAATAGTTAAAAGTATATTGAAATCGAAAATCAGGATGCGGAGTCATCAGAATCACTCAAAATATTATTGCTACACAATTATTGTCTGATCAGGTATATATTATTTTACTAATTAGACGAAATAAGTCAAACACGATGTACTTTTGCTCTAAAAATAACAGAAAAATGACATACCCCAAACAATAACAAATCTACCAACGAACACCAACCAATTTGTTTTCTTATTTCGTGAAATGTTTTTCACAACAATGTAGAAACACCAAATAATTTTCTGCATGATAAAGTCTAGTTTTACCGTTCCAAAATATATCTAAAGTAGCAATAAAACTTTTGTTCCCTCCATCAAATAGGCATATTTTCACATCAAAAGGGTATAAAATTCCATGTTGTTGACATAAACTCAAGGAACATAATGTCCACGACAAAAATATCGCCATTCTAAATTATCTCCCTTGAATTGAGCATCATAATAACAAGAGAGTGACCTTTCTTGATTATTTTGAAGTGAAAGAAGAACAGTTTTCTTGCTGGTTGGCTACATTTTGAATACTAGGCTTTATGGTGCAGAAAATTATTTGGGGTATCTACGTTTTTGTCCAATACATTACACGAAATAAGAAGAATTGAATGGCGTTGGCATTGTTATTGTTTGGGATAAGGCATTTTTTCTATTATTTTTAGAGCAAAAGTACATCGTGGTTGGTGTATTTCATCTAATTAGTAAAATAATATGCACCTGATTAGACATAATAATTATGTATCCATAATATTTTTAGTAAGCTGATAGTAGTGATAGTGACAGAACTTTGATCAGTCATGAGGTAATTTGTAGTTGGCTGGCTAACAGAATGTGGACAGTTTGCTTGACACGGGATATACTGGATGTGGGCGTGGCGTGCGTGTGTTTTTGTTACCCCTAAACGATCGCCATGTTTCGTCTTCAAATTTAAAACAAGTATGGCGGTCGTTTAGGGCTGTTAAAAAAAATTTTATTTAATTATTTCTGTAGTTTTGTAATCGGAGTCCAGCTTTAAGACGGGTCGTAGCTGGATCCCCGTTTCATTCAAGATAACATTCAAATTGCGCAGCGACCAGTACGGTAAAAGGACAATGTTGCAGTCCACCGCAGTTGTACAAATGACAGGGGTAGCTAAACACATTACATTTCAAATGCTAATATTAGATCATATGTATACCACTTGTACAAGATCCGCCCCTAAACCCCGAACTTTTAAACAGAAAGGGATATAAAGATAGATATCTAACGGTGTATATAAAAGGATATTTGTTTAGTCGTGTGGTATAACCAGTATAAAGACAGGGGTATTACGATAGATATCTAAAGGTGTATATAAAAGATAAGTATTTAAAAAGAATACATGTGTACTAGTACGTGATATATATCCTGTACACTTCATACTGAATTATGGTGACTGTTTTACTTCTGTTATCTGAACTGTTGTATAAAACAACCATATAATTATACTCTGTGAATATTGCTGTAATTTTAACATAAACTCTGCTGTTGAAACTGGACATACAACACTGAATATAACTAATGTTAACAAAAACTCTGTTTAAACTGGACGTGCTCTGTTGAAACTGGACGTGCTCTGTTGAAACGTGACTGTAATTTTTACTGGGCTATAAATTCATCTAAATATGGCGGAGGCAGGCGATAATACACATAGCTGTAGTATCTGTTTAGATGATTTTACTAAACCTAAAATACTACCATGTGTTCACAAATTTTGTCAACATTGTTTAGACGACCATATCAAAGCACACTCACATCTCAACAAGTTTAATTGTCCCATTTGTAGAACAGAGATTCAAGTACCTGATGGTGGTGCAAGTGGATTTTCAAGATACATCCAACCGAAAAGTAAAACGGAAAAACATTATTGTCTCTGTCGGAGTCACGAGACAAAAGAAATAGAATTTTATTGTCATGAATGTTATGTTGCTGTTTGTGGTAGCTGTGTTATATTGGATCACAAAAATCATACAGTAGCTGATCTTCAAGATGTTGACCAAGAAATCAGAGGAAAGTTAAACATTATAAAGGGGGAGTTAGAAGGTAAAATTGGTGAAGTCGAGAAATACTGTGAATTATTAACCAATCGAATATCTGATATCAAGAACCAAGCTAAAATAGCCTGTGATAATGTTGATACACATGTCGAAAGAGTTTGTGAAGAAGTACAAAAACATGGCGGTGACATAAAATGTGAGGTGAATAAAATTTGTGATGAAGAAAGTAACAAGTTACATAAATTACATGGAGATATGACCAATTTAAAAAGTTACTTACAAACCAGTGTTAAACATATGAATAAAGTGCTGAATAGAAAATCTACTGTTCCAGTTGTAGATGCGTTAACCAATGTACAAACACTGACTGAAGATAGCAGATCAACCAGTTTAGATATACCCCAAGTAAGATATGTCCATTATCCTATGGTAGATATAGATGTTAAAACTTTAGAACTACTCCTAGGTGAAATAGAAATAGTGGAGTCACGTACCTGGACGTCTAGTTTTAGTTTGAATGAGATAGTGAACACAGGCGTGTATTACCCTAGTGATAATGTAATGATACAAGGAATGTCATGGTGTGTAAGTGTTAGCCATCAAACATCTACATCAGGATTGGGGTGTTACTTGTGGTTGAGGGGAGTGGAAGATAGAACAGTTAAAAATGTCACAGCTAGTTATATACTAAAACTATTAAATATAAACGATGTAAGTAAATCTTTAGTGAGGCAAGATACAGATTCATTTACACCTAATGGTGGTGGATATGGTTGGCCTAGCTTTATAGCGTGGAATAAACTACGGGGTAATAAGAGTGGATTTATCAACAATAAAACATTTACCTTACAGGTTACTGTGAAACTAGACAACATAGAAAGATACTGATATTTATATTACAGAACATAGTACGATTGATCGGTGCCATCATAATACATGGATATATCTCTATTGTAGTGATGATGTACTGATACAAGGAATGCCATGGTGCGTAATTGTTAAACATTAAAAGGATAGATCAAGATGCTGCCTGGGTGTGAGGAGAGTGGAAGATAAAACATTTAAATATGTTATAGCTAATCGTATACTAATAATATAAACAATGTAAGTGCAACAAGATACAGGTACATTTACACCTGGTGGGGATATATGGGGTAATGGTAACTTTATAGAGTTGAATAAACTACACGACGAGATTAACGGATTTTCTGATAATAAAACATTTACTATATAAACAGGCTACTGTAGAAATAAACAGTATAGAACAATACTGACATTCATATTATAGAACATTACAGGAAATTTGACGATCTGTGTCATTAACAAACAATGACATATATCTCTACATATTAGTTCGATCAGAAACATTTAAGTTACCTGTATGTGAAATAGGGTCGAGTTTGAAATGATTCGGTGACACGGCAGCAAATAACTATTAACGTGTACTATTAAAATAGCTAATAACCATAAAGTTATCATTTGTGAGATAGAGAAATGGGGTTAAACATCAACTCAGGTGTTTTGGGGACGAACACATTGTTCAACTTGATTTCAATAATTCGCCTGCGCGTAGAGATCTTTAGTAGTGGTAGGAGGACCCGGAGAAAACCCACGAGGTTGGAAAGGCGACTCTACACTTTGAAGAATGTAAACCAAGTCATTTGACTCACTGACAGACGCACATGTTAAATCATTAAACCATCCCGGAATTGGGTTGTAAGGGACTCTTACATCGAATTCAAATGTCAAAGGTCATTTTATGTACACGAGTATGGGAACATGGGGGCCCGGTTGTTCTTCCCATGCCAACGCCTATACGTTGTCCCCCACCAGGTCCTTCGTCCTGCACCACTGACAAGGGGAAACAGGTCGGAAAATGCCGACGTAATTTCTCGGTAAACACAGGGATCGAACACAGAAACTCCAGGTTAGCGAGCCAACGTCTTACTCACTGAGTGATTATTGTATTGATTTGTTAAAACTATAGCGTATTGATTAGTGTATTGATTATATGTTATAACTATTGTTTATTGATTATAGTATATTGATTTGTTACTGATTAGTGTATTGATTTGTTATTGTTATGGTATTTTTTTTATTAATGTATTGATGGACATTACAAATATTACATTAAAAAAAATATACCGGTCAACTGTTCGTTTCTTTCATTACCCGTGAATGACATCCGTCATACACAATAGTTGGTATCATAGCAACATGTTGTCGTGGGTGTCGTGCACAAGAATAAAATCACACCTTCTATATTCTACAACTTGTTGTGGAGCTTGGCGTTTCTTCAGGGCTTCTAGAAACTTATATATGTTGACATGACAACAACTGACTGAAGTCTCAAATCATCTGTGCCACCCTTCTATATTGTTTTTGATTCTTGGAAGCTGGACCACAGTTCGGTCGTATACATATCTCTACGGTTACGACTAGCAGGTCTCCAAATGTCGGTATCCTTTCAGTATTTGATGATGGTATTTACATCATTCTCTTCCATGTCGCCAAGTCTGCAATTTACGGTATATGCAGTGACATTATTTCAACGAGCAAGGGCTGGTATCATTCTGATACAAAGATTGAATTCATTGTCTGCATGGTAACGTTGATGAGATCCCTAAGTCTGCAATATATCTCAGTTTCAGGTAAAGCTTACTTGACAGCACTTATTTTAGCAATCTCAAAGTCATTAATGACAGATAAAGGACGATGATCCACTGAAATACTAGCAACTGGGAATACACCCGGAAATTGGTATCCCCAGTCTTGTTTGTAAGTAGAGCATAGACACGTGTAACTATGTGGTTGTCGATAAGAGCATGTATTGTTTAAATCTGGTAAAATATTTCAGTCACAATTTTAAATGTTCCGTCAGCAAACCGATGACCGGTTGAAGAAAGGGCCCTCAGGTAGCCAGTATAGTATAATTCTAGCTGGATTGTTTGTACCACTGCCAGGAAGAAGGAAAGGTTTCCCCATTACAATTTTCTTTGTATTGGTGTGGTATTTTCATGGCCAATTGAGTTGGTGGTAGAGGTGCCGAGTTCCAGTGGATCGTCTCTTTATGGTATTTTTCACCCCAAGAACCATTTGAACAGCATGCGTTCGTTCACTTTTACGGACTGGATGACCTCATCTTTACTGTGGCTTTGCATTTACCATGACTGCGTTTTTTGCATTCCCCGACAACAGCACCATTAGCAAGGGCTCTTTTACAGACGTAGATAAATCCCTGGTAAGACTGCTTTTGCTGATCCCGCTCTCTGATGTTATGTACTTCGTGGCACTGATATACTTTTGCAAGTTTACTGTTCATTTTATTATAAACATTGTGCTGAATTTCAATTGTGGGTATTTCTGTGATTAACTTTGAAATAAAATTAACAGCTATGTTATAATGCTTTGATAATGATTAATGAATAGATACGTCATAGTGTTCATTCAACAATTAATAAACTATATTAAAAACAAATAAAATCACTGACAATAGGATTAACATTGATGTTTTTATAATGATTACCTATAATAATTCCTTAATACCCGAAGAGTGCATATGACTGTTCGTTACACTTAAAAAAACTGATATGCTTGTGGAGACTGCAAAAGACATAGCTGTAGCAACTCCATAAAATCTGTTTTAGACATCTCTGACCATACATATTTTGTTTCCAGAAGGGGCTATATGACCCCGTAACAACAATGCTGTGGTATAAATGCAATCAGTCAAATGAGATACCTCTGAAATCGGATTAGACACCAGCACATGATGAGTTCCCACGACTGTACAGGTGTAACTGTAAGACCGATTGTTGAACTAAGTCGGTGCACTTGTAAGGAACATCGACTGGACTGCACTGATATGCTTGTGGAGACTTCAAAGGACATGGTTGTAGCAACTCCGAAACCAGTTTTAGACAAATCTGATGATAAAGTTTTGAGCATTTGCTTGTTTCCATCAGGGCTATGTGACCCCGATCCCTCTCCTCCCTGGTGACAACAGTGCTGTGGTACTAATGCAATCAGCCAAATGTTCTCCATGATGAGGTACAGTTATTTTTATTACTTTCTTTGACGAAGCTAAAATGGCTGAGAGAACTAGATTTTTCAGGTTATTGCAAATGTTTTTTGAGTTAGCACTACAAGTGTGTTTTTCGATTATGGCCGAGGCGTCTAATTTGCACACATTATGCAATACAACTGTGCTGTTCTCCTTGTCTTTTTCGGTACCCCTTACCCTTAAATTATCGGAGTAGGTACTGGTTTAGGTAAGTAAAGAGTTTCAGATTTGCTGGGGGGATAAGTTTTTTCAATGGCGGCTGTTAATTTGCATATTGTGCATGTAATAAAGTGATTTTATTCCAAATGTGTTTATTCGCTTCCCTGGTCACGAAAACGTGGGTTTATAGATACAATTTCCACCAAATTTGAACATTTGATAGCCAAGTTATAGTATTAAGTCAATTTTTGAAACATGAAATTATGCTAATTAGCATATTACGCAATTTGCCCGCTTTCCAACAAAAATATTTTTGAACATTTTTGGGATGTTGTTTTGGGGACTATACTAAAATGCATCCCAGTGAAATTAATTCTGTTGCAATTTGTTTACGGTCTAACCCCAGATTGACTGCACCACACAGGAATTGAAAAAGATGGATTTCTCCCACTTAATTCAATATAAACGCTAAAGTCCCTTACGCTAAATGGGTTTTGATAGCAATTTAATTAGAATCCCATCACAGGAAGTGAAAAACATGGAACGGGACTTGTCCCCCCCACCCCTACTCACACACACACACACACACACACGAGTTTTCACACCACTAGCTGACACCGACAGACTCTAGTGTAAGATATGTTTATACATGTGGTCTACGTGTGTTGATGCATGTGTAAAAGTGAAACGGTTTGGTCTCTATAATTGTAGTATTAGAAATAAATGAACCACGTAATAAATTGTAACTAATGAATAAAGGCAAGACGTTCTTATTATATGTTTTATTGAATTGGTATATAAACAGATTAACACCCCGTGTGGGATATTTCTTACAAATATTGTGAAAGGGTTGGCAATAAAATTGAAATTATCTTTGTGTTTTTAAACATTGAGTATTCCTATTCTATAGTTTCAACATGTTGTTGTCACGCGTTATGTCTGCTAAACAACTCAATAGAAACAAGTAATGTAATATGAAATAAAATTTGTCTATAGAGTACATGTAATTCATAATATATCTCACATGAAAGGGTTCATGGTAGTCCTACTTATCTGGTGGTTGTAAGGATCTATGACACTTGCTCGCTAGCACTTAGATCCGTGTTTGATCCCAGTGTTAGCCGTGAAAGGTCCTCTGAATTTTGTGGTTTAGTTTCCCCCTGTGTCAGTTGTGCAGGACGAGTGGGATGGGGTAGTGTCTTGTCGCTCGTATCGTACCAAAAAAGGTATCATATACACATTGGCGTAGTTGCCATTTGAAATCCTAAATAGGAGCAGGCCTTAGACCGCTGTCCGGGCAAAATTTTCTTCATAGCACACTGTATGGCGTATGAGCCATGTCCGCAATTTGAAGGCATGTTCTTATTTAGGTCCTCTTTTAGAAGGTTAATTAATAATGCTGACGCACACACACACACCCACCCACCCACACACACACACACACACACACAGGGGCGACGATATAATACGTCTACGTTATGAATGTGGACGTATAAAAATAAATATATTGAAAATTTCATTCGAATTAGCGACGATATCACTACTTAAGATTTAGGGTTAGTTTGTGGTTCGTTGTTCGTTATTCGCGAATAAGAGAGAGAGAGAAAGGGGAGGGGGGTTTCGACACAAACAAGGTCATTTCGGGACTAACATACAGTTCAATTTTATTTCATTAATTCGCTTGCGCATAGTGGTCTTTAGCTGTGCATTGAAAACCGGGTGACCCGGAGAAAACCTACGAGGATGGACGGTCGACCCGCATAACGAACAACGAGCCAGTTTGTTGTTCGGTAATCGCGAATAACGAACTACGAGCTAGTTTGATGTTCGTTATTCACCAGATATGGAATTAGTAATAAAATAAAGGCACTTTTATAGGGAAACGCTGGGTGTGGGTTTTGGGAAATGACTTCTAACAAGCTGGCGTTGTACAAGTTTTAATCATCCAAATTGGACAATTATCGAAAATTAATTCCACCCTACAATGGAAAAACAAACAAGACATGTAACACACACCATCATACAAACATGCACAAACAACAATTACCATAAAAATGTTAGCTATGTGAACTCCTCATAGTGATATCAGACATCAGAACACGACGCTAAGTTAATCTCGGTGTCCTACGTCATCAGCAGAGTTACAAAATCAGTGACGTAAGGGTAACGTGTGTAGGATATTTTCGAAAGACAAGGGATACCTTGCCTCGTGTACGACCATTGTTACGCGGATTCCAACTGCCGAAGTCTTATTTAATGGAAGTTACCCCTCAATAAAAAAATTTTCTTAATTTTATCCGTTTCCTTTCGAATGGGGATATTAAGATGACTATCGGAGACCCCACGAGAAAACCGATTTTGATCGATTTCAGTTTTTTTAGTCAGTCGACCAATTATCAAATATCACTATGACAGGGTAGCTTAACACCTTCTATTTAAATGGTTTATCATGCCATGACAGGTTAGCTAAACCCATTCTATTTAAATGGTTTATCATGCCATGACAGGCTATCTAAACACATTCTATTAAAATGGTTCATCATGCCATATGAAACGGATTGTTGCTGGAATCCCCTTTCATTCAAGATAACGTTGAAATAGCGCAGCGACCATGGTTACGGGGAAAGGACAATGTGACCGTCCACCACATTTGAACACATGACAGGGTAGGTAATCACATGACATGATGACTAAACGGCATCCTTTCAGTAGTGATGATTGTATTTGTACCATTCTCTTCCATGTCCGTAAGTCTGCAATTTACGGTATATGCAGTGATAATGTCTCAACGAGCAAGGGCTGGTATCGTTCTGATGCCAAGATTGAATTCATTGATGAGATCCTTAAGTCTGCAATTTACGGTATATCTCATATTCATGTAAAGCTCTCTGGGCAGATCGGATTCATATCCAGTAATTATCGCAAGCTAGCGATGACATCGAAAGCTGATTATGGTCTTTATATGTTAATAAATGTCGAATTAATAATTTAGATAACATTTCAGGCCGGCAATAAGCCGATTTAGCTCTTGCATAATGTATGTTTATAGAGAGAGAGAGAGAGAGAGAGAGAGAGATGGGGTTTAACGTCCACTTGACACAAACTTGGTCATTTCGGGACATGTGATTTAATTTTATTTCAATAATTCGCTTGCGCGTAGGGATCTTTACCAGTGGCAGGAAACCGGAGGACCCAGAGAAACCCACGAGGTTGGAGACAGGCGACCCTACTCCTTGTCACGTACAACGGGGAATCGAAACCACGCCAGTTGACTCAATGAAAGACCTTATGAAACAGCGCGCACGTGTCAACCATTCGGTCATCCAACACCCCACCCCCACGTATGTTTAAAGTATAAATATATCTAGATATAAACTATACATTGCGGTTGGTTGTCATAGCAACCCCATTATTTAGTTTCTGATGCATTGTAACAAGTCATTAATTACTATTTAAGACAGTACAGTTGCAATATATAAAATATATCGAAATATACCAATACTAATGTAATAAATAACAACAACACAGCTGCTACAATCATTATTACTATCTTTAAAGGGATGATCAACAAATAAAATATACAAATATGATGTTGAATGGTACATCAAACCTAATCACGGAGTATTTTGTTTGGTGTGCTGGGGTATTTACAATGCCTGGAGCATTCTTCTATTTGCAGTTCTAAAACTACTGTCTAGATAACACTTTAAAGTCCGTGTAATTCTATACCTTAAAGGGACTATCCCGATTTGAACAGAGTCTACAAAATAAAAGTCTGAGTACGTATGAAATTTAAATGCCAAAATATAGAGAAATATTATATATTCCCCTTCTCAAAATTTTAGCTCGTTTGGACGTGAACTTCAAAACTGCTTATCCGGACACGTAACCCTTTTAAGATTTCGGGTCAATTTTTCGACGGGTGACCTGATAATCGATTCCCGTTCCTTTTGAGGTTTATACAGTGAATGACCCATGAGCTATACTTGATAACGAAAGGTAAACTTCACCGACACATTATTTTTATAAAATAAAAGTCTGGTTTTATCCAGACACCACATAATACAGCTTGGGATGCTGGTTTCCATTTCTAGATGAAGATTGACGGGTTTATGTGGTTTGAAAATGTATCACATATATTGAGTTAGTTGCTCGGCCCTAAGGTAGAGGCTTTTATGGGATTTTAACCCAAAATTAAGAAATTTTATTCTCCAAAATATTATCGGGATTGGCCCTTTAAATGAGGCTAGTCTCCAACTCAATATCATCCACAGTCTCCGACATTGCAAACACGACTTACTGGTCAATTTAAATCAACATTGAAGTTCTTATCTTACCGTGAAAAGATGGGCTTCTAATATCCACTATTAAAGACAAAATGAAAATGTTGAAATTGACACACTGATGGCGTGCCAGAATGCTTTCTAGCGTCAATTGTAATGAAATGACTGGATGGACGAGGCTAAACAAATCCCAAAAGGGACGACTACCGGAGTACACTGGAATAACCAGACGTCAAAGACTGTCATTGAATCTGGACTCCTCGCGTATTTCGCTGAACATAACTGATTAGAAATTACAGAAATACCAGAAATGATTGAATGTAAATCAGTTTATATACATTCATATTACATTATTGTATGCTGTTGTCACCCATTTGTGTCCATTTCTAGGTGCCAAAGAATAGCGATTTAGCTCTTTTAAATAGAGAGAGAGAATAATCGGATTTAACGTCCACACGGCAGAAACCAGGTCATTTCGGGACTAACATATGGTTCAATTTTACTTCAATAAATCGCCTGGACGTAGGGGACTTTAGCAGTGGGAGGAAACCGGAGGACCCGGAGTAAACTCACGAGGTTAGACAGGCGACCTTACTCCTCGTCACGTACAACCGGGGAATCGAAACCAGGCCAGTTGACTCAATGACAAAACTTAAGATACAACGCGCACGTGCTAAGCATTCGGCATCCAACCCACAAGTTCCTTTAAACAACTTTAATTTATTTTGATCAGATTTCTGTCATGTTGTTTTATTCAAAGCCGATATAATTTATGTATAGCGCTGTGATGACTTTTCTTATGACCCGCAATACTTCACATTAGATGTAAGATTCATGTTCGAGCCACCTAATTCAACCACACGGTTGCTCTTCCTGTAAAAGTCAAGGCGTGTATAGGCATCAATACAGTTTTAACTAGTTCTTCGTATAAAGTTTTATTCGTTAATTAATTTATTCAAAATGGATGATGTCAATGATCAGATGTATCGAGGTAGCTTGTATCCAGTTATAGTGTCAGCTGAAACCATCACCAATGGTAATCAGAATAGAATAGTTCAGGTAACAACAATATAATTTATGTAACACTACTCGTTTGATTGCCTAAAATATGTCATTTCGGGACTAACATATGGTTCAGTTTTATTTCTATAATTCGTTGGCGTGTATTGGTCTTTAGCAGTGGGGAGAGAGTAGTATTTGACTGCTATATAGTTCTGTGACCCAGATCTGATGGGGGAATTATGTGAAAACAGTTACTTGACATATGTTGTCCAATATGATGTAGGGAGATGACGAGAGAGAGAGAGAGAGAGAGAGAGAGAAAGAGAGAGAGAGAAAGAGGAATGTCCATGCGATACAAACTAGGTCATTTCGGGACTAACATAAGGTTCAATTTTATTTCAAGCGACCCTTCGCCTTGCCACGTGGATCGAAACCACCCCAGTTTAGAAAATGAGGCAGCTTCAATCTCCAATATGTTTTATGAAATGTCTGGTTAGCTATATACTAGACATTTCTTCTTATGTTACAACGCGTACACGTTAACCATTCGGCCATCGACCCCCCGTGAAATGACAAATGAACTGAAATGGGATTTAACGCCCCATTGTTCTGCGCTGTCTGGACTAATGAAAACCAACATACGCCAGACAGTGCGCTATGAGGGACCTTTTACTCGATCAGCGGTACTACAGCCTACTCTTTATTCGAATTACAACACTGTCAAGGGCACTTTTACCACGCCGAAAATCCTGATGAACTTTCACGGCCAAGGGTAGGGATCGAATGCGGGACTTCCACGTTACTTATTGTGCCACCGGTTCCCATGTCACGCGGCAATGTAAATCAGGGTAGGGGCAGTAGACTACGATTACTTTATTTCAGGCCTCATTATTTTCAGGCTCCAGGTCCGACTCTGTTACAAACTCCAGGTCCGACTCTGTTACAAACTCCAGGTCCAACTCTGTTACAAATTCCAAGGACCAGAAAAGACCAGACAGAATTCATTGGTCTAATGGACCGTAGGACGAGACGACAAGATCAACAACAACAGAGATCAAGGAGGTGTTCATCCCCAGGACCCTGGGTAATATTTTCTATCTGTTTCGCCTATATGGCAACATACTCCTGGCTATAGGCGAGGGAAAGTTAAATTTCTAGTGTTCGGTGAATGCAGCTTCAACAGTGTGATTGATTGGAATTTAGGTCGGCAAAAACATATAAATAGGGCTATTTTGGACTACTTTAATTTTAACGAAATCGTCAGCTAGAATAGCAGGAAAACGCGTTTGCGGCCGATTTATTTTCAAAATTTTCTCGGGTAGTCAAAATATATACTCCCATGTTGCGTTTTACTTCTTCGTGGAGTATAAACGAGAATTTTCAGTCATAGTCTTTTTTTGTTTTGCCAATTTGTCGGGAAGTTAGATTTCTGTAACAGTCTGACTAATTGGCTCATTGGAATTCAGGCCAGCCACGTAAAAAATACGGTATTTTAACATTGGACGACTTTACAGTTGCGTTTACGGCCATCAATTTTCAGTCCCCGTATTTACCGACGTAGCGCTTTGTATCTTCGGCGCTCACTCTAAACCAGACTTTCTTTGGCATTTCAATCATACCCCTAGCTACGTGGCTACAAACAATGTGATATTCTGATGTGCTTGTTTTAGCTATGATTGAAAACTTAATTTCTTTATTGATACATGTAACACCTAAAACATAAGTTAATTTTATACTATTAGGATTAGTTAACATACCGGTCTAATTAAAAACACCCGGCCCAATAGTGACATTACTCTCGATTATCTGCAGATATGTCAATAAAGTTTAAATATAATTGGAACGGCCATTCATAATTACGGGGCATAAGTCATACTCACCTATATAAGCGGCCATTATGGACTCCGGAAATTCCGAACCTCCCCAGCCGGACTACAATTAGCACCTCCTGACCAATACCATTTTACACCATACCACAGACTGCCCAAATTATTTAACAAATCATGTTTTCATTTATTGTGGCTGAACAATTTTCATAATTATCTAATTTCAGATATTATTTAAAATGGTCTTCATTGCAACAACAGCTTTCTTAGCAGCTGCTTTGATATGGAGAAACTTCAAGTAAATATACAAATTGCTTCTTCATGGGGATATATCTTCCCCTCTTTCTACACAATAGTCCAATAGTATCAGGTTCTCCGGGTAGCAATACCAATGTGAACTCCCCAAATAAGAAGTGGGATGCACGATACAATGGCGGTCATAGCTGAAAGTTCTAATTGTTCGAGTACAAAAGAAGGTTCAACCCTTTATACGCATCACTCGAAGAGTGGGATTTTTTAACCTTCAATTTTGACCGAGAGAGCGAGAGAGAGAGAGAGAGAGAGAGAGAGAAATGGGTTTAACGCCCATTCGACACACACTAGGTCATTTCGGGAGTAACATATAGTTCAATTTTATTTCAATAATTCGCTTGCGCGTAGGGGTTTTTAACAGTGGGAGGAAACGCGAGAACACATAGGGAAACCCACGAGGTTGGAAGGGGACCCTACTCCTTGTCACGTACAACCGGGGAATCTAAACCACGCCAGTTGACTCAATGAAAAACCTTATGATACAACGTGAAGGTGCTAACCATTCGGACATCCCCCCCCCCCTTGACCGAAATGAAATGAAATGAAATGGGGTTTAACGTCCTACTATTCTGCTCCGACCCTGGGCTAATGAAGACGGGCATACGCCATACAGTGTGCTATGAGGGAAATTTTGCCCGGCGCTATGGCCTACTCTTATATTGAATTCCAACTGCCAAGGGATCTTTTACGTGCACGCCAATGTGTATACGGGACCTCGGTTTTTTGTCCCATCAGAACGACTCTCCTTGACCGAGTGGAGATCACAGACAAAACAAGAGGGTGGTCACTTTTTTTGGCCTTCTCGCATGAAACTATACCGAACCAATAATCACGTGCCCTAACCCTGTTTACAACTGTTCACATGGCCTTGGTAAATCGTCCTGACCTTAAAAATTCATACAGTACACATTTTTGAGCTTTACGACATTTTTCTTTTCAGTTACGATGGCGCCGATACACATGAGCAAGCTAGGGGCTTTCTATGTGTTAGACAGTTTTTCAAATATCTTAGAACTCCAGCGGAACAATTCGCCTTTGCACGTGCAACGTATCAAATCGAAGAGGAGGAATCGGTGAAAACTAACGAAACGGTCAGGGGAAACATAACTTGTCACTTTCATTGCTATGACAACCAGACGGGATTTAATACATCAGCACAGAATTTACCATTAGCTACGTCACCGATTCCGCCATGTCTAAAAGTGTTCCTTCCTACCGCAAAACGAAAATCGATGGAAGCAGCCACCGTCGGTAGTATACATTATCACGGATGCTGCCAATCGTAAGTATTGTGGTATTTATCTTTTGATATTCCACTTCAAACTATATGAGAGAGAGGGGGGGGGGGGGAGAGAAAGAGAGAGAGAGAGGGGGTCATTTCGAGACTAACATATGGTTCAATTTTATTTCAATAATTCGCTTGCGCGTAGGGGTCTTTAGCAGTGGGAGGAAACAGGAGTACCCGGGGAAAACCCACGAGGTTGGACAGGCTACCCTTCCCCTTGTCTAGTATAACTGGGGAATCGAAACCACGCCAGTTGACTCAATGACAGAGCGCACGTGCTAATCATTCAACCATCCAACCCTCCACTCACAAACATTCACGTAGTATTCACGGTTTTATCTCCTATGTTATTTTTTGTGTGTTTTGTATATACCCCGATGTAACGGGAAAGTTTTTAAAGAGTTTTGCCTCGTAAATTTGAGAGCCTTGTGTTGTTTGTGTTTTGTTTAAGAAATAAAGAGATAAACCGTTGTTAATTTTGATAAGTTCTTTGAAAAATATCTTATTTAAGATTGGTAAAATGTGTTCAAATCATTCATTATTATTTATCTCAAGTAAAAAACAAAATGACAAAATCCTATGTTAATATTTTTTCTATAATATGTACCTTTTCTATTTTATAAAATATTTGCTATTTTTTTCTTCAAATTATATTTTGATTGTATAAATTCCATTTTGTGCTGTTATGATATCGTGTGTGATGTTACTTTATTGTGTATATTATATTATCATATGTGAAGCCAGTGTCCCACATGTGAGATTGGTGTTAGTTTGTTATTTATTTTAGTAAATAACTTGTGGGTAACAAAGTACTCTTTTAACTTTTATCAAATTGAACGGTCATTTAGTTGCTTAGAACGTTATGACCTCAGCTGCTTCTTGATAATATATATGATATTGACTTTTCAACTCTGTATAAACTTCTGTTAAGGCACGAACTGGCTATGATCTAATTAAACATGTAATTAATCCCATATGTCATTTACAAACTACATAATTTTATGCTCTGTGTACAAGATCTCCATGATTTCAAAGGAATGTGCATTGACCAGTAGACATGCCGTGACGAGATAAAACGACCATGTGTTCGAAGGTATATAACCAAGCGTTGGCTGACAGTTAGACGGAGGGGAGCGGGGAGGAGAACAGAAGCTTGGACGAGTGTATGAATGGTGGAATAAACATAGTTAGATGTGTTTCTATCGTAGACTAGTTCTTATATAGTTTAAGTTCCCGTAGTGATGTTGTATGTATGTAACTGTAGCTGTTATATGTTCCGTTGTAAATAAATCCTGTATTTACTACAAATGACTAATGAGAGCAGATTCTAAGCAAGTTGACCGGCATTTTAAGCTCTAAACTTTACCAATTTCTATAAATTTGACACGTATATATTCATCTAATAAAATTGAAAAGGCAAAAAATGTCGGTCAACTTGTTTAGTGTCTGCTCTAAAGCGGAGTTAATTGTAGACAGACAGCATAAGTTTCGTGTGAAAAGACATTTATTTAAAGTTAAATCAAGTCTAATTTAAGTGAATAAGACGTTGGCTCGCTAGCCTGGAAGTCGCGAAAGTTCGTCGCGAATTCCTGAGTGCTTGCCCCTTGCAAGTGGTGCAGAAAGAAAGACTTGGCAAATGACAATGTATAGTCGATCGGGTGGTACGAAACACCGAGGTCCCGTGTACACATTGGCGTGCACGTAAATGATCCATTGACAGTTGAAATTCGAAACAAGAGTAGGCCGTAGTGCCGCTGTCCGGGCAAAATTTCCTTCATAACACACTGTATGGCGTATGCCCATCTTCATTAGCCTAGTCGGAGCAGAGGAGTAGGAAATGAAACGGGTTTAACGTCCTAGTGGCGCTACAACCTACTCTTATTTCGAATTCCAACTGTCAAGGGATCTTTTACATGCACTCCAATATGTACACGGGACCTCGGTTTTCATACTATCCGAACGACTAGACAGCTGTCATTGAGAGGCCCTCCGTCCTGCACCACTGACAAGAGGAAACCGAACAGGAAAACCTCGATGAACTTTCTCGGCCAATACCGGGAACGAAGTCACGACCTCCCGCCTAGCAAGCCAACGTCTTACCCACTTAGCCACCATGGCTCCCCAGAATAGTAGGACATTAAGTCCCATTTCATTTATTCTAGAAGGAGTCGGATATATTTTTATTGTCTGGATTATGCTATAAATAAAATGACTATTTGCTCATTTTAATAGCCATTAAACATACATTATGCAAGAGCTAAATCTCCCTACTGCAGGTCTTTCTTAAGGCCTGAAATATATAAACTATTAATTAGACTTTTATTAACAGGACAAAACCATAATCAACTCTCAAAACCATCGGATATCTCCGATATTAAGTAGATTAGAACGATTCAACCATATTTTGATTTAATCTAAGAAAGGTGAAGCGAGGCTAAACTTCGAACAACCAGTGCGGGGGTTGCAATTAATGCACACATCTTGTCAAACCTTCAAAAGCTATAATAATATCTTCGCTCGCATTGGAGCAATTTGATTGAATTTTTCAATAAATTAATTTTGCATTATCTATTGTTGAAGTATTATAGTAAGAATGGCCAGCTCTTTATCTAAATCTTACATAAAGTATCTTTAATGATTTAGATAACATTTAAGACCTAAAGAAAGGCCGTCAACATGCAGATTTAACTCTTGCATAATACAATTATAGCAAGAATGGTAAGGGCCCTGTTTCTCGAAATCTTAACTAAAGATAAAATCCAAATTTTAGTATATACTTCAAGTTTGATTGACTAAGCACTAAAATCAATCTAATATTATCCAATCAAATTACTAAAATTTGGATTTCATCTTGGTTACAATTTCGTGAAACAGACCCCAGCTCTTTATCTAAATCTTACATCATGTATCTTTAAATGTCGAAATCTATTTATTTCAGCCAGACGTATTTTCAGTCCCCTCCGACTGCGGAAGGTACTGACGGGAAAGTGAAAACGCTAGCTACATTTGGTAACAGGAGCCAGTATTTCAAAACCCAAGATTGCAAGTATGTTGGTATAACTGTAGTAATCAACATTGTGGTAGAAATGTAGTTGAAATCCCGGTGTGTAACGAGAGCGATCGTCTGCGTCTTGTGAATTGGACTTCTGTTAGAAAATGTTCCGAGTTGAAATCCCCGACGTAGAAGGGGACGTAACCCTGATTTCAATACAGTCACCCACCTCACTCATTCTAGCTGACAGAACAGAACAGAACTCGTGGTTGAAATCCCCGACGTATATGGGGACGTATCCCTGATGTCAATACAGTCGCCTGTCTCACTTGTTCAAGCAGACAGAACAGGACTCGTGGTTGAAATCCCCGACGTAGAAGGGGACGTAACCCTGATGTCAATACAGTCATTCGAGCAGACCGACCTCGTATCGACTCGTGGTTGAAATCCCTGACGTAGAAGGGGACGTAACCCTGATACCAATACATTCGACAGTGTCGTGTTATTCTAGCAGACAGAACAAGACTCTCGGAACGCAACAAACCTCATTATTTTCTTTCATTGTATTTTGTTGATGAGACAAATTGGTCTATTCCTTTGTATAACTCCTTCAAAATTTGTTTAAGGCCGTTCCCGATTTGTAATTGGTACCGAACAACTAACTTCCGGCGTGGTTCCCCCTTGTCAGTGGCGTAGGACGGAGGGGTTGACAAGGGACAGGGAATAGTCGTTCGCATGGGACGAAAAACAGAAGTCCCGTGTACACATCGTCGTGCACGTAAAAAACAACATTGACAGGCACAATTACCCTCATAGCACACTGTATGACGTATGCCTGTCTTCATTTGCCCAGTAGGAGCAGAACAGTAGGACGTTAAACGCCATTTTATTTCAGAACCCACTTCCACTTGTGCCACACTGGAAATTGGAGGAAGGATAGCCGGAAAGGTCGTTGTCTGGTCAAAAGTCTTGCGATATGGTAAAATCAATGCCGTACGTTATAACTAATAGGGAGCCACGGTGGCTCAGTGAGTAAGACATTGTTCGCTAACCTGGGATAGGGAGCCACGGTGGCTCAGTGAGTAAGACATTGTTCGCTAACCTGGGATAGGGAGCCACGGTGGCTCAGTGAGTAAGACATTGTTCGCTAACCTGGGGGTTCTGCGTTCGATACCTGCGTTGGCCGAGAAAGTTCATCGGGACTTTAGCGCGCGGTTCCACCTTGTCAGTGCGGTAGGACGATGGACCTGACACGGTGCAACGTATAGTCGTTCCGAAAGAAAGAAAGCCGAGCTCCCGTGTACATATTGGGACGGGTGCACGTAAAAGAACATTTGAAGTTGGAATTCGATATAAGAATAAGCTGTAGCGTCGATGTCCGGGCAAAATTGCCATCATATCACACTACATGGCGTATGACAGACTCCATTAGCTAAGTCGAGCCAGAACAGTACGATGTTAAACACCATTTCATTTCGTTATCGAATAGGGGAACCAGAGTGGGGAGCTGCTCGAGAATGTCCGCTTGACACTGGTGCAGGACGCAACAACGTTTCGCCGTTGAAATGGGATAAATACGTAAAAGTAGACAAAACCTTGTCAGACTTGATATTAGACTTTGAACCGTCAGTAGGTTTATCTTCATTACCAGTGTATGTGCCGTTAAATACATTTCATTTCAATACATTTTATTTATAACGAATAATGGATAGTGAAACAGTTTATTAATTCATTTATTTCAGACAGGTTTCCGGGTGTACTGGTTGTACCTGCACGACTATAATGGAAGTATTTACAGCGCTAGTAATAAACAGGTATGGCGGATTACAACTATCGGATATTAAGCTGAGAGGCTGCTGCAAATGTTTCAGGGGAAGATAATCCTAGAATATACTGGAATCAGACTAGTAATCTTTTTCGCGTTGATTTTAAAAGACAGAAGTCTATTATTCCGAAACCGACTATTCATAAATTCATGAACTAAATTTATTGTCAGGAGATCAGAAAAGGATAAATGTAAAAAATGTAGTCTATGCTTCATATTATTCTTTTGTTTAAATTATAGATATAACTGCTATTTGTATTAACAGAGCACTGCACGGTTCAATTTAAATGCAGACGTCACGAAAAGAGAAATGCATATTTTGGTTTTTAATATTAGAATAAAATGTGATGTAAAGGTATAAATAATGTTTTCTGTGTTTTAATTATTCAAATTAAATATACATTATGGGAGATTAGATAAAGGTTTGACTGTTCTCTCTATAATAGTTACAAATTAGATAACGTAATAGAAGATTTTGAAAATTTCAGTCACATTGCTCCACTATGAACCGATATATTAGCTTTTGAATGTTAAGCCTAGCCTCGATCATCATTACTAAAGTTGGTACGATAAAATCCATTTTTGGATTTAATCATCAATGAGCGTTGAGCAACAGATTGGATTCCAATCCAGTGAAAATCCGACACATAAGATGACATCAAGAGTTGATTATGGTTTGGATAAATTAATTAATGTCTAATTAATAGTTTATATAACATTTCCGGCCTAAAGATGTATTAAGCAAGATTTGTTATAAACCTATAACGGTAAATCTCTTTGATCGTTGGGGTATGTTCTATTTCCGGAAAGACACAGTCGGGGGCGGCTTTGGATATATACAGGGGATTTTAGGGTTATTCTTCTGGAAGTTTTTCTTTAAACCTGTAACGGGTTATTCTTCCAAGGTAGGTTTTTTTCCATAAGAAAACATGATATAAGGTTTTTCTTACGTGAATTCTGGGATATTCTCAATGTAATAGTGTGTGCTCTTTCTCTAGGCCTTAAATATTATCTAAATTATTAATTAGACATTAATTAACTTAAAAAGACATTTATCAACTCTCGAGGCCATCGTTAGTCTGCGATATTTAGTGGATTTTAATAAATTTTGTGATGGATAAAACAACCGTAAAATAAGGACGAGTATTATGTGTCGAATGGAACTACAATCGGAAGCACCGGGTAACTCTTCAAACGCAAATAAATATTTCCCATATTGGTGACCAACTTTCGTTTTCTTAAATCTGCCCAATAGGATATTAGTTTTTCGATTACCATTGACGCGATTTGACTTGACTTCTTAAATGAATCGGCATCGATGCAATAACGAAATGAAATGAAATGAGGTTTAACGTCCTACTCCGAACTGGGCTAATGGACACGGGCATACGCCATACAGTATGCTATGAGGGAATTTTTGCCCGGATAGCGGCACTACGGCCTACTCTTATATCGAATTCCAACTGTCAAGCGATCTTTTACGTGCGCTCCAATGTGTACACGGGACCTCGGTTTTTCGTACCATCCGAACGACTAGACAGCTGTCCTTGTCAGGTCCTCCGTCCTGCATCACTGACAAGTGGGTAACGCGCCGGAAAATCTGGATGAACTTTCTCAGCCAATGCAGGGATCGAACACCCGACCTCCAGACCAACGAGCCAGTGTCTTACCCACTTAGCCACCGTCACCCTCGATGCAATCTCAACTTGATCAATATATGGTAGTGATCAGTGTGTTAAACGGGTTGGCTATGTGGTCTATCGTGTGTGCATTAGATCATAATGCCTATCATTGAATCGAGGGACATTGGTTTGATTCCAGGCGTTGAAACGCTTGGGTTCACTTCATAATATGGGCAACCCTACTTTATATCTCTGCACAAGGTTTGCAACTGTTTTCCTTTGACATGTTGCTTTACTACGAATGAAATAAAATCAATGGGGTTTTGCTTCCTACTTTCCTGGGTTAATGAAGACGGGCATACGCCATACAGTGTGCTATGGAGGAAATTTTGCCCCAACAGTGGCACTACGACCTATACTCTTATATCGATATCCAACTGACAAGGAATCTTTTACGTGCACACAAATGTGTACACGGGACCTCGGTTTTTCGTCCCATCCGAACGACTAGACAGCTGTCCCTGTCAGACCCTCCATGTTACATCTTAAAGATCTATATCCAAACAGCAACAGTCTAATAATAATTAGAGAATATTTTTATTTCTAATATTCTTAACCAATCCAATATTATTACCACGTAGAAGGGGACAATAATAACGAAATAAATCGGCCTATAAGTAGGTAAACGGCCGCTTTACCGTTCGGTTAATTGATTACCTCCATTATATGGACATAACGGCCCAATTTCCAGAATAAACGTATCTGATCGATGCGTATGTTTAAGGCTCGGGTTTTTTTATGGAGCTCTTTTGAATTCCCTGGATTTAAAACTACAGTTTGCATGGTAGACATAATCTGTTTTCGATATAGGATTAGGGTCTTGTAAAATGACTCTATACCAAAAGCTCGCGTTGACCCCTCGTAAGTCATAAGTTCACCGAACGGTAAACACCTGTTGCCGTTCGCCTACTTATTATCCTCCTTTCTAAGCTGTAATGAGATTGGATCCGATGCTTATACGCGCAGGCAACTTCAGTATATACCAGTAAAAAACATTAGATATCAAGCATTAGGAATAACAGTTCTCTCAGTCGATTTATATACATCCCCGAACCCACGATTGTGAGCACCAATAGTGTGGACGATTTGAATAGCTACTGCTTCCAAGTGTGCTAACACCAATATAATATGTACGTGCGTTTGTATAGCAAGCCTGGCGTTGCGAACGTGGCTGGACAGAACAATACAGCTTCATATTATTGTAGAAGATTTGGTCGCATCTTGCTCTTGAAACTCCGCGTCCTAATCCCTAATAAAAATAAATAAGCATAATAAGCAGACCTTTAAGGTTGATCATTTCGTGTCAAATCTCCCCAAAATATTGGGGGATATGATATTCCAAATTTTAACGTGGTTGAAATATAAGCATTTTCAGCCCATCCCCCCACCCCCACCCCCAAATAAGGATATAAAGCGGGATGGATGAAGTGCATAATCACGAAAATTGTCTTGTAGATCAGGATAAAGTTGTTCTTTCTCCGGTTGTGATTTGTAAAAGATCACTGAGGTAGTCAGGAGCTAAACCACTTGTAAGTGAGAAGGATTATTTTATATTGAATACGCCTGTTTATGGGCAGCCAGTGTAGGGATTTGAGCACAGGTGTTATATGGTCGTGGAGTTTTGTTCGGGTGATTACACGTGCAGCAGTGTTTTATATCTTTTGTAATGAGCGAAGAGATGAGGCTGGAGGTCCGTAAAGTAAGGAACCACTTAACACCACTAGGCATATCTTCAAATGAAAGAATGGCCCCACATTAATTTAGAGACCAAAATTTCTTAATTATGATAAAATATTGCAGAGTTATGCCCCTTTAAAAATTTGGATTCTGTGCAGCATGTTTCTGGGGTAAAGATATCCCCGAAAATGGTTCAGGAGTACACCGGAAAACTATAAAAACCATGACATGTAAACGTTTCACCCTGACAACCTAATGCATGGTGTCAGTTTCATGTGTTTCTCTTAAAAATTGACGACTTTGTGTCTGTCTAAAGTTGTACCCTCTTCAAAATGTGGGACTTTCCGGTACTCAAATTTTGGTAAAATTTTAGGATGCCATTCAGTTCACCCAACGCTACCAAAAACCATCTAAAAATCTTTTCTTGCAATTTTTATTTGGGGGGCGGGGGGTGCCCCCCCCCCTTTTGTTCATAAATTGTTACTTACACATGAATAGCAGACATCGTGTTTATCACATGCCGGTTTAAAACGTTGTTTGTAAGCCATGTTGAAAGGGTCGCTGCAACCGTTGGAATGCGTGTCACAGGATTGTCCCTGTACACATCCGACCACTAGTAAGGCTACCAGGCAAGATATGCCGATTATTTCTACATTCATTTCTGTAAAAGGAAATAGGTTCACAAAGTAAAATATGTGCTTTAGTAAAGACCCCTTTTTTTACAAATGTATGTTTAAAGACTGTTTATTACAAAGATGTTATTTATATCTTATTAAGGACTATTTATTACAAAGACTGTTATTTGTACCCTATTAAAGACTGTTTAGTACAAAGACTAGTATTTATACCTTATTAAAGACTGTTTATTACAAAGACTAGTATTTATATCTTATTAAAGACTGTTTATTACAAAGACTAGTATTTTTTTTTATCTTATTAAAGACTGTTTATTACAAAGACTGTTATTTGTATCTTATTAAAAACTGTTTATTACAAAGACTGTTATGTATATCTTATTAAAGACTGTTTATTATAAAGACTGTTATTTATACCTTATTAAAGACTGTTTATTATAAAGACTGTTATTTGTATCTTATTAAAGATAGAGTTTTTTCTTACAAAAGACTAGTGTTTATATCTTATTAAAGACAGTTTTTTTACAAAGACTGTTTATTATAAAGACTGATTATTATAAAGACTGTTTATAGACTATTATATTTATACCTTATCAAAGAATGTTTATTACAAAGACTAGTATTTATACCTTATTAAAGATATATTATGTAAGATTTAGACAAAGAGCTGCTCATTCTTACTGTAAAAGCTCAAAAATAGATAATGTAAAATGAAATTTTCATTCAAATTACTTTATCACTGTTTGTAGTTTTGACAATATGTGCGTAGAGTTGTAACCAGAGCACTGGTCTATTCGAGACTTAGCCTCGCTTTCCCATTTTCAAATTAAATTTTTAAATGGCGAACCGTTCGAATCTAATTAACATCTCGAGTATCCGATGCCTTTTAATGTCTAATTAATAGTTTATATAACATTTTTGGCCTAAAGAAAAACAAGCAATAGACTGATTGAGCTCTTGCATAATGTATGTTTAAAGACTGTTTATTACAAAGATGTTATTTACATTTTTATTAAAAACTGTTAATTACAAAGACTATTATTAAAGATGAGAGTGTAGTCGGTTCTCAGTGCTATAAAATCATATATCATCGAAATAATATAGTTTTCCGATCGACATGTGTAAAATATTGACAAGCGTCGTCGTCGTGTTTTAGCCATGTAAACTAATCCGATGATCTAATCCAGGGCTTATGTTCAAGCAAACTTCATCGTGCTTTAGCCATATAAACTAATTTGAAGATCTAATCCAAGGCTTATGTTCAAGCGAACTAATTAATTGTAGCCCTTAAAATTTTATAATTAAATCCAACGAGTCAAGGACCAAACATGTATCACTGGGTTATAAAAGGATAACTTCGCTTCACAGAACAAAACTTGATATACAACTCAGATAGTAAAATACATGACACATATTCACCAAAATATAAGTTACGTACCGGGGCGTACATATCGATTTTGTTTGGGTGTGGGAGGGAGACCGACTGATGCACAGGTCCTTAATACGCGCCCAGCCCCGCGGGTGCGAGAATTTTAGTCATTCAGTCGCCGATGCACAATTCTAAGACCAACGGTACTTATTTTGGACCGACTATAAACAAAAGGGGACATTATCATTACATCAATAAAATTAAATATAATAAGTATATTACCTTATCTCCAAAATCCAAGCAAATATTTTATATCGAAAAGACTCACCGCAAGTGAAATACTTTATACGTTCACCAACATCCGTAATGGATATCTTATATAAGAATGTGGCCTAGTTTTATTATTCTACACCGGTTTATTTAAAACCATAACAACAATGAGATGACGTTATATAAGTCTTATAAGTAATATAACTTTATTCTGACATATATGAACCCTTGGGCTATTTGCAGAATATTTGTTATCCGGTTTACATTTGTCAAGAATACAAGCTTAAAATTGCCACGTGCTAAACGCGTACCGGGTCTACATATATTAAGAGGTTAAATGAGACAAAATAGAATATAATTGATTAATTCAACCATTCGTTCTGAATGAAAGAACGAAGAATGCATACCGAATTTATCACAATTACACCCATCTTAAATTCGGATAATCGAAGAGGGGCCCAACAGTAAGTGAGTAATAAGACGCAGCGTTGCTAGTCTGGACGTAGCAGGTTCGATCCCGTGGCCGAGAAAGGTGATCGGGATTTTCCTGCGTGGTTTCCCCTTGTCAGTGGTGCAGGACGGCAGGCCTGAAAAGGACCGCTGTTTAGTCGTTCGGACGAAACGAAAACCCGAGGTCCCGTGTACACATTGGCGTGCACGTAAAAGATACCTTGGCAGTTGGAATTCGATATAAGAGTAGGTCGTAGCGCCGCTGTCCGGGCAAAATTTCCCTCATAGCAGAACAGTAGGACGTTAAACTCATTTTTATTATTCCATCATCACGCAAATGTTTAAGAAAATAATTGGAGAACGAACTGCGCCCGCACTGGATCGAACCATACATATACATTCATACTACATTATTATATGCGTTGCGACTCATTTGTGTCAATTTCTAGGTGGCAACGAATAGAGAGCTAGATCCCTTAATAGTTGGTGTGTTTGTGTGTGTGTGTGTGGCACAAACCACGTGACATATTGGTCCTTACCTGTATAAATGCTAGATGTGTGGATTTCGTACGTACGCATGTCTTCAAGTTATGTTCATCTGCTCATTCAACAAAGCTTAGTGAAATAGCCATATTAGATTTACTACAATAATTTTAGATCCCAGCTAATGAAGACGGGAATGGGCTATACAATAAGCTATGCAGGGAATTTAGCCCAGAAGTGTTATTACGGCCTACTCTTATATCGATTTCCATCTTCCAAAGGGATTTTTTTACATGCATGCCAATGTGTACACGGGGCCTCGGTTTTTAGTCCCACCCGAACGACTATACGATTTCCTTTGTCAGGCCACCTGTCCGTCATCACTGACAGGGTGGAACCACTCCGTAAAATCCAGATGAACTTTCTCGACCAACGCAGGGATCGAACACGGAATTTCCAGGTTAGCGAGCCAACGTCTTACTCACTGAACCGTCGCGGCTCCCCAGAGTTCTGGGCCCTGTTTCACGAAATCTTAACTAAAGATAAAATCCAATTTTAGTAGATACTTCAATTTTGATTGGCTAAGCACTAAAATCAATCTAATATTATCCAATCAAATTACTAAAATTTGGATTTTATCTTAGTTAAAATTTCGTGAAACAGGCCCCTGTAAACGAAATAAAGAAGTTGCTATGCGAGTAAAGTCTGTATTATTGTAAGATAGTGTGGCACGAACCACGTGATCAGTTTACCCTTATCTGTAAAAATTCTATATGGGTCGTTTTGTATGAGAGCTTATCTCCAAGATATCTACAGTGTATTCGTCATATAGGGCATAAAAACATTTTGACCTAAATACAATGACCGCCATCTTTCCTGTTGTAGTTTTCACAATAGCCCAGTTGATTCAGTCAAGTATATCACAGGTAAGCGAATTCATCAAAACACTGCTAGCTCTGTGAATTTCTTAGTTAAAAGGTGGTATCAGATGTGATAAGGTGGTGACGCAATGGTTAACACGTGCGCGTTTTGGATCATACGGTCTGTCATTGAGTCAGGTGGCGTAGTTTAGATTTCTCACTTGTATAAGACAGAGAGGAGGGTCACCTGTCCAACCTCTTGTTTTTCTCTCTTGAAATACAATTGAACCATATGTTAGACCCGAAATGATCTAGTTTGTGAATTGCGGACGTTAAACCACATTTATCTCTGTCGCGCCATAGATATCAGTCTAGAATAATTCTAATAAAGCAAAGGGTTGGTTTATGCTGTGGTGTGATGAAGAAGTTCACCGCGATTGTACCCCAAAACCTGAAAATACCTCGGACGTCGCCCGTAGCTTCATGCATGACGTATACAGGCACCTTGTCTCGGTCACACAGAATGTCATAGCCTTCAACGTAAGTATAAGGGCCTTTGGCCAGCTGTCCATATTTGTAGAAAGGTGACAAATAACCAAACTCCCGGTCATCCATGGGCAATGAAACGTTTTGGCTAGATACACAACTTGAATACAACTAATTCTATAAGCAACTACTGATTCAATACACTGCCGCAACTGTTAACCTCTTTTAAATATTTCAGTGGTTGCCATTGGGTGTCGGAGTGGCCTACAGAGACTATGGGTTTGGCAGTAAGTTAGAAACGGTTTCTGTTCTATGCTTAGAAAATACAGTATATCTTTTAAGACTGTATACAGATAACCACGGCGCCCGGTTCAGATTAAACTGTACGTACTACATAAGGAATGCGATTAGACAACGAGTCTAATTTTCAAATACGTAGACCTAACTGTATATACATATCCATGAATGCCTGAATGAAATTGGGTTTAACGTACTACTTTTCTGCACCTACCTACACGCTATAAGCTTATTATGTCTTGAGTAGTTGGTTGTTCGATAAAGCTCCTTAAGATTTTACGGCGTGACTCCCCTTTGTCTGTGGTGTAGGGCTGGGTTGGGTGGGGGGGGGGGCTGGCTGGCAAGGACAGTATCTAGTCGTGTCTAGGATGAGACAAAAGACCGAGGTCTCGTGTACACATTGGCGTGTACGTAACAGAACGCATGGGAGTTAGAATAATCGGCCGTGGCGCCACTGTCCGGGCACACTTTCCACCATTATAGCAAACTGCATTGTGTTTGCCCGTCTTCATTGACCCAGTCGGTGCAAAAAAGTAGGGGGGTGAAGTCTATTTCATTTCATTCATATCTTACGTGGTACATTTTTTTTATTCTATAGAAAATGTGTTGATTGCATATGGAGGGTATGGTGTATCAGATACATTATCCAGACACTGGGCGGACCGATTAATAAACCATTCTCCTCTCAAACTGCTTGGTGTGGGTAAAGTTTACGCCGTCAAGGGACCGGATGATTCACTCTATCAAGCGAGGGAAATTGCTAATTCAAAACTTGTCAGGTAACATACAAAACTCTTAAGCACATAAAACAATGACATGAAATATGGTTTAACTTCTGTTCCGACCGAGCTAATGAAGAGAAGTTTTGCTCGAACAGCGGTGCTACGGCCTACTCTTATATCGAATTCCAACCACCCAGGGTTCTTTTTGTGTACTCGGTACATCGGGTCTTCGTCTTACCCGAACGACTAGACACTGTCCTTGTCATGTCCCCGGTCCTGCACCACTGACAAGAGAAAACAACGCCTGAAAATCCCCCCCAGGAAATGTCTTGCCAACACCGGAAGGGTACCCGAGACCTCCAGTTATAGTGAGCTTGCGTCTTGCTCACTGAGCTACCGCGACTCCCGGACATAAAACAAGATATGAATAATATTGCTTACCTACACAACGATTCACTATGATATATTACCGGACAAGTTATATTTATAGCACGGCTTTCATGAGTTAACAGGTTTAACCAGAGGCCGAGGGATTAAACCTGTTGACGAATGAAGCTTGCTATAAATGACTCAACATGCTTAGTGTTACTGCACAGAAAACCCACATCACTTCTCTATATGATTTCTACTAAAACTAGTGTAAACCAGCAAAAGAGTGCAATAACATTGAACATGTCTAGTTATTGCACGGTTAAGCTCCACCCAATCTACTAGAGGGAAAACAATCTGCTTATTCAACGAAAAGAACAAAGGAAGATTTCCCATCCATGTTACAACTATAGTTAAAATACATACAGACAGCTAGCTTACGATTTGATATATATTTAAATTTTAAATAATTAATTTTTAACTAGAAGTATGTTTTATTTGTTATGTATTTATCTACCATAAACACAGACGTACTCTCGTATTTTCAGTCACTTATTGGCCAATCAGAATGCGGGTCTTATAGTAGTGTTGGCTCACTCCAGTGGTGCTTTTGTGGCCAATGAATTCTTTAATGAGTTATACAGATCTGGATCACCGACCAAAACAGATAAAAAGATCGTCTATTACAATTTAGACGGAGCTGGTTTGTGCATTATATTCTCTTTCTTTCTTATCTTATTCTACCCCTTCCCCACGATATCGTTTTAGTCTTATTATTCTACCCTTTTAACGACATGTCATTAATAAGGGGGGAGGGGAGCGGGAGAGAAAGAGAGGGGGGTAGTTCTGATCGACCATTGCGCGTGGGGACCTTTTGCAATGAATGATAACAAGAGGACCCCTTATCATCGAATGATCCAGACTTTTTGATCTGAAACGCATGCGTTACACTACTCTGTTATGTTACCAATTGGCTACAAATCATTTTTTTAAAGCCATGCTAGGTGCTTCAAATTGTAATTTAAAAAGTGTGATATAAAAATCGAGAGCCTTTAATAAACCGAATCTATGATGACAGTAGACACATTATACCAGTCGTTAATATCACGGTGACAATACACGGACAAAGTTAACTTGAACTTTGAAATGGATAAAAATAATTACATTTGAAAAGCAGAACGAAGTGCTTTGAACACTGTAATTAAATACAGCCTCTGTGATGACAATCGCTTTTTACTTCATTCACACCAAACATCATTTATACGTTACAAACCAAACATCATTTATACGTTACAAACCATTATACATTACACACCAAATATCATTTATACGTTACAAACCAAACATCATTTATACGTTACACACCAAACATTATTTATACGTCACACAGCAAACGTCATTTATACGTTACACACCAAACATCATTTATACGTCACATAGCAAACATCATTTATACCTTACACACCAATCATCATTTATACTTTACAGCATAAATACTCGCATTTCAGTTTTCTTGTAGGTGGATTAAACATTCTTCTTCTTCTATTTAGCAAACAATTTGTCTTATTTTTATTATCTTAGTGCAATTTATCTTCCTGTGGAAAGATGGAGAAGGCGCCCATATCTCAAATCCACATACGCTCACACCAGCGATCGAAACCATGACAGCAAACTAGAGGTGACGGCAAACCACTAGGCCACCCCAAACCCACATAGGTTAGGCAGTCAATTTAGATCGTTTATACACTGTTCCCAAACTATACATGACCTTCCCAAACTATGACGTCATGTTGTTCTAACGATGACCCGTCTTCATTAGTCGGTGCAGAAAAGTAGGACGTTAAATAAACCCCATTTCATTTGACTCTTTACAATGATACGCATGTCTCTTTTCTTGTATTTTACAGGTGGATTAAGCAGTACAGCTAAATCTAAACTAAACAAAGAATACTTTGTATATGCTCGTGATGGATCTCTTTTATCAAGGAATGCAGGTGTTTAAATTATATGTTAGAACTATGACATCCATTGACAGACTATCGCCATCAAGATCGGTCGCATCATTTCTATTGCGTCTTTCTGGAATTCATTTCATTGTTAAGCGTTTCTCTGTTCTGAGTGAAACCTGTGTCATTACGACGGGTTTCCCGTTGTCAGTGGTGCAGGATGGAGGTCCCGTGTACACATTAGCGTACACGTAAAAGATCCATTGACAGATGGAATTCGATATAAGAGTAGGCCGTAGTGCCGCTGCCTTCGCAAAATTTCCCTCATTGCAGACTGTAGACGGTATGCCCGTCTTCATTAGCCCAATCGGGGCACAACAGTATAACGTTAAACCTCATTTTACTTCATTCCTGATCATGTAACTTGATTTAATATGTACATTTGTTGTTTGTTGAGTCTATGTAGTTTGTAAACTATCACGTGGCCAGCCTCGGGGATTTGTGAAGGGGGGTCGGGGTCGAATGGTTTAACAATTTATTTTATTTTCAATAATTTTCTGAATTTCAGGAACGATGAAATCACTTGCCACGGGAGACCAACTAGTCGAATTGGATGGTTCACACTCCCAATGTCGTCACTATAACTGTCTACATGACGTCATGATTATTCGTCATCCATGGGATCCAATGAAATTCGATCTTTCAAGAGATTATGGCTTGTTTTCTGTTGGGGATCGAGAAGTACAATATGACTACATCACCAAAACTCAGTCCCGATTATCAGGACTATCCCGCGGATGAATAGACAAGTTGAACTACAATGTATACATAAAACGTTTATTTCGTTGAGTGTAGCCTGTTTCTGTGTGTTCCCTTACGGTAATCTGAAACTGTCTTCGTGGAGGTCGTGACTACTCGGTACATTTTACGTCCATTCGACACAAACTAGGTCATTTCGGGACTAATACATGGTTCAATTTTATTTCAATAATTCGCTTGCGCGTAGGGGTCTTTAGCAGTGGGAGGAAACCGGAGGACCCGGAGAAAACCCACGAGGTTGGACAGGCGACCCTACTCCTTGTCACGTACAACCGGGGAATCGAAACCCCGCCAGTTGACTCAATGACAGGCCGTATGATACAGCACAACGCGCACGTGCTAACCATTTGGCCATCCAATCCCCCTAAAAATACACGGAAATGTTACCCAACTACCCAGGAACTGTTAAGATATATATAAACTTCCCCAATATATAAATTGTTTAACAGCATGCTCTAGTTCTAGAAGGCGACTGATTGGCTCTTTTTTAGAAGGAGACAGCTGATTGGCTCGTCATTTTAGATTTCAGAAACGGAAGATAAAATGTATTATTTTAACCATCACGTAATCAATTTTGGGAACGTATAAAATTGGCCTGGAACTAGAATCTTGTATCACTTGTGGTATAGCTGATTATATATCACGTATTTGATGAATGACTGGGATTCTATACAGAACGCAAGATTGTATTTACTATATTTAATTTTATTGACTGAGTCAAGGCAATGCTTAATGTATTTAATTTTATTGACCGAGGTTTAATGTTTACACAATAAAAGTGTGGCCTTATTATGTTTATATTTATTCTCTGTAACATACATTTTTGTTAGTCTTTCTTTCGGTTTTGGTTGCCGCCCTTTTTGTTAATCTTTCTCTCGGTTTAAGTTTTTGCCCTTTCGCATAGCGGAATGTTTTCAAGTGGGGTGCGTGGTTTAAAAAGGTTCATAGAATGTTCATTATTTGGTGAATACTCCTGATTTTGAGTTGGAAGGATAACAGAGTTAAGAGGTTGGTTGCGTAGAAATATAGTGCGGTGAGTAGCTCGTGCATTAGTATGCTACTTCCAGTTTGTGTAGGTATGTCTTTAAACAAGAGGTTGTCATATGTTGCTTGCTCCATATTAGAAAGCGTTCAACTCGACGAAACTTATTTAAAATATTTGATTTTATTGACTGGGGTTTATAATGTATACGATGCGAGTTATCTCCAATCTATACATTTCCGTTGTGTTATAGGCGGAAGGATAACATAGTTAAGAGGTTGATTGCGTAGAGAAGTCACAGAGACAGCCTTAACGGTATAGTCGATGAGAAATATTTACAAATCGAATATGAATATTACTTCTGGTTGTTATCGCGGTAGGTGCAGTTTAGTTATAACATTTTTTGATATACACAGATATTCTTTTTCTCTCTTGGCTTAAATATAAATTATGGAAGATTAGATAAAGAGCTGACAGTTAAAACTAAATAATGTAAAGGGAATATGCTAAAAACTTTCAGTCAAAATGCTTCACTCTAAGCCAAGAAAACCTCAATGGGCGTTGAACAGCAGATTAAATGCCTAATCTATAGTTTAAATAACATTTCAGGCCTAAACAAAGACCTGAAATAGAGAAATTTGGCTCTTGCATAATGGCTGTTTACGTTCTCGACAGAATGCAAGTTGGCCTTGCATAAATATTTAGTTTACGTAACAAACATTGCAATCTCATTAAAACACAGATCCTGTTTCGTTTCGTTTTTTTTATAGTTCAAAATTTCGTTTTACTTGTCTTTACTATACTAGGATCTGGAAGAGTTGTTATATAATAGGCGTTCTTATTGGTGTGCGGAATTAGCTAATAGACCGGGAGCCCAGGGGGTCAACCTAGCTGAAAAGTGTACCAATTTTCTCCTATATGGTATCAATGTATGTATATCTGGTATCATCAGAATGTAAGTCTGTCGGGTTTCTGGTGGTGGGTGGGGTATTCCACGCCCTAAATGCCATGATCCCCAACTAGGCTAGATTAGCTCAAAAGTGTACCACACGAAAATCTTACTGCAGTGTACCGTACATCTTGAGGTATTACAAAAACACTCTGACAGACATTTCTAGTGGTGGGGTAACCCTGACAGAGCTATGTAATTGCCAGACATTTGTAGTGGTGGGGTATCCCTGACAAGAGTTATCTAATATTTAGACCAAAGCTAGTGTAGATAAGCTGAAATCTGTACCACCTAAAACAGCTTTGGAGTTGTTCAGTACCACCACAGGAGTCATGAATGACCACTGCCATACAGTTTGTGCGGTGGGTTACCCCTACGGACACGCCCCAAAATGCCACGTCCCCAACCAGGCTAGCTTCGCAGGCACTGTTCTCGTGTTCTAAAAAATTAGATTTTTAGCCTGGATGCGTAGGATTCTAATACCTAGCACGTATGGAAGAGGCGATAAACTGCGATGGCAAGAAATTGATTTTTGGGCAAAAAACATTTTATGGGGCTAAAAATGCGTTTTTCAAAAATAAAATTGTTCCTACAACCGCAGTTTATCGCCTCTTCCATATGTGCTAGGTATTAGTATTCTACGCATCCTGGCACAATTTTAAATTTTTTGGACCACAGGAACAGTGCCGACTAATCTATCCTAGTTGGGGGTCGTGTTATTTTGGGCGTGACCCCTGACGTGATCTCCCACGTCAGATCTTCATATAGTGTAGGTAATACATGGTTTGATCGTTATGGCGGTAGATTTAATCAGTTCTATATTAACTATCTGCTCGGTGACTTGGATTCTCGGCAGTAGGTGGTAGTACTTAATTACTGGGGTTTGTGCGCTTTAGACCATAAGGTCTGTCATTTAGTCAAGTAGCGTGGTTTTGATCCCACGCTTGTACGTGACAAGGAGTAGGCTCAGTTTCATTTTGTATATCTTGTAATATTTGAAAGTCTAACCACACGTTTGAATATAACACCATCAGAAAAGGATACTCCAACAAAGCATCATCTATTATTACCGTCTGGAAGATCAAGGCACGATACTTGATATCAAACCAAACTTGTTTATCATAGTATAAAGTGAGACAGCGTTTTAGTTGTTGAGATCTTCCCCCCCCCTCCCCAACAAGCTTTCAGTAAAGAGTCCGCACAATGACGCACAACGAATATCATCTATATAAATCAAATCAAAGTATGTACGTCTGTGTGTATCTTTGCAATTCTCGTCGCTTCGTCGCCGCCCTCCATCTGCACATATGTGGTATCAAATTAACCAGCATGGCCCCCTGAATGTTTTATGAAATCGCATTTGGGCTCCGGGTCAATTGGTCCTTGGCCGCGATCGAATCACGCTTCGCCGACTCACATCATAGTGGAATCAAATTAAACACCCCGTGAATGTTTTTGGCCATAGAATTTGGGCCCCGGACGATTTTGAGCCCCTAGGCGTATTTAGCCCCGGTCGAACTTTCCCCAATGCGAATTTAGGCCCAGGCTAAGCCGGGTATCCTGCTAGTATTTAATAAGAATAACTATTTTTTTTACAGAAATGAGGGTAGAGCTAATCATCATATCCTGCCTGTTAACCTTTCTTGTGGTCGGATTTGTAGAAGGGAGGATTACTTGCGGCAATTTTACTTATGAACACGACGGATGCACCGATCCTTTCAACTTTCCTTACAAACAACGATTTCAACAAGCATGTGATAAACACGATCTCTGCTATACATGTGTAAGTCACAGTCTAATTAAATATAGATCAGACTCTTATTTTAATATTACCCATAATATTCGATATTAAAAACACGAATTAGAATTTAATATTGATCCATTTAAATCAATATTGAATTTATTATCTTCCCGAGACACAATGGGCGCCTGATATCCAACATTTAATACACAAAGTTTAAAACCATTTCCCGGGGTCGGCATCTGTGCGATCTCGGGCGCTATTTGTAATTGAAAGACTTGATGCACAAAAAGCCATGTTGGAAAACATGATTAACCAGGCGCAAATCGCTGTCATTCAATCTGGACTGCTTACGTATTTCATATCTGATTAGCAATTACAATAATTGAATGTGTGTCAGTTTATATAAATTCATATTCGTCAATTTGAAGGCCCCGTGAAATCGAACTATAATCCCTTTGTTTATATACTCATGCCCTTTATATTTCAAACCCTATCTGTATTTGGTAGATTTAGAGCTTATATTGTCATCTCCAAAGTAATATTTATACATTCTATAAAATAACACGCGGTAGCCAGAGATGGGCGGAGAATGGGGAAAATCGACTGTTGCAATAACCTGACCTTCAGAGTACAAGGGATCGTACAAGGCATCTGCTGAAATTAGGTTTCTGGGGTATCCAATCTTACGACGGTGAAAGTATGATTAATGTTGGTGATGTTCTATTCAATTGATCAATGTTTAAACAGTGATTATGATTTATATTTTCAGGGATATACACGTGGATTATCAAGGTTAAGCTGCGATAGAATATTTCTTAACATTATGAAGAATCACTGTTCTTCTTATAGTAGTCGAAGTCTGAACCGCTCGAATTGCATTGCAAACGCGTATGTATACTACGGCATGGCTAGAGGGTTTGGTGCTTTGCGTTTTGTAAGAAGTTCAACGAGTAGGTGCTCATCGCAGCAGGTTTCGGATTGTATGCATGACTAGGGTCTATCCATTTTTATATTCATATTTCTGGCAAAGTCTGTGATTTGTTTGGGTTTTTTTTACTGATGTTATGAATAAAACCTAACTTCAACTGGATATATATGAATATTGACGAAGGGGTATACGTTATTGTCTAATTATTATGTATTACTGTTGGTTTGGAGACATTAAACTGTTACAACTTATCGTTCTAGACATTTTAATTATTTTTGGGCTTATCTTGGTGTTCTTTTTCTAACTCTTGGGGGCGACGCTCTACGAAAAGGGCCAAAGGCGCCGTAAATTCGAATACGATCGACTTGAAACTTGATAATCGTGTTCCTTGGACAATCGCGCATCGGCTTTGCTTTGACACCACCATTCCAAGATTATTGCGATGACGTCATACTCGATACCTGGTATGACGTCGGGATCGAAAACACTTCCTCCAGTTTAGCGAGTCAACGTCTTAACCGCTAAACCACCGTGGCTCCCAGAATTCGTCGAATTCTTACTTTCTTAATTACGATCGCTCTCCTGTGAGACTTCGATCCAAAATAGGCGATGAAACCGAAATCCTGTTAAACAAGAAAGATATTTGCGTTTTATCGGAATATAATTATTCTCCGGGACCAATTTATTTCAAATATATTTCTAGTTAGAAAGAACAATGGCGAGTTCAGACCAGTCATTAATATATTCTTTTTATTTCGTAGCCTATAAATATTTTAAACAAGAAACTCATTCTATATATTTGGATATTAAGCGGAATGATTTCCACACATCTATTGACTTATGTGATGCTTATTTTTCGATGTCTTTATGTCATCGCCTTCCCGCACGGAATGATCTTAGGAGAATACCAGCAAGCAACACGTTAATCCTCTGTGGGCTGGGGGGGGGGGTTATAATTATATCTAACTGTTAAATCCGGCAATCCCTCTCTTGTAAGGGATCATCAAGCGAATCTATTCTGGAAACCAGGTACCTGTAAGGAATGCAATCTCACATGGAAGAGAGAGAGAGAGATGGGGTTTAACGTCCACTCGACACAAACTAGGTCATTTCGTGACTAACATGTGGTTTAATTTTTTATTTCAATAATTCGCTTGCGCGTAGGGGTCTTTAGCAGTGGGAGGATTATGGTTTTGGCAAGTTATTAAATGCCTAATTAATAGTTTATATAACATTTAAAGCCCAAAGAAAACCCCAATGTAGGCTGTTTAGCTCTTCTATAATGTAGGGGGGTTGGATGGCTGAATGGTTAGCGTGCGCGCGCTGTATCATAAAGTCTGTCATTGAGTCGACTGGCGTGGTTTCGAATCCCCGGTTGTACGTGACAAGGAGTAGGGTCGCCTGTCCAACCTCGCGGGTTTTCTCCGGGTCCTCCGGTTTCCTCCCACTGCTAAAGACCCCTATGCGCAAGCGAATTATTGAAATAAAATTAAACCATATGTTAGTCCCGAAATGACCTAGTTGTGTCGAGTGGACGTTAAACCCCATTTCTCTCCCTCTCTTCTATAATGTATCTTAAGGCTAACTACTACACGGAAATGTTAAAACGCCAACCAGGAACTGTTCGATAATAAAACTGCCCAAATATATAAATAACGGCATGGTGTGATCTAGAAGAAGACGGTTGATTGGCTCGTTATTTTAGAAGGAGGCGGCTGATTGGCTCGTTATTTTAGATTCCAGAAACGGACGTAATCAAGATGGGGAACGTATAAAATTGGCCTGGAACTAGAATCTTGCATCACTTGCCGTAAAGCTGATTATATATCAAATATTTGATGAATTACTGGGATTCTCAATAGAAGATAATACTTAATATATTTTATTTTATTGACTGAGTCACGGTAGTACTTAATATATTAAATTATATTGACTGAGTCATGGTAATGGCGAGTCAGCGTGTTACCCACTTGAGAACCGTGGCTCCCCCGGCAAAATGACTAAAATGAAATGAGGTTTAACGTCCTACTGTTCTGACCAGGCTAATGAGGAAACTCTTGCCCGGACAGCTGCGCTACCGTCTACTTTTATTTCGAACTCTAACTGCCAAGGGATCTTTTACGTGCACCCCAATGTGTACATGTGACACTACGGTGTCGTTAAATAGACGAATTATGAATTATTTCCACTGTGTGATACGGCCCGTGATACTAGTCTGACCCAATCGTCTAGGACTTTCTTTGACTTCACGCTGTACACAATATGATCAATTAACTCGGGAACACTTTTTTCGTTAACTATGTCTTTATATCTTATATACAGGAAACTACACACACAGCTATGCCATTAAATATAAGCTAAATACAAGTTCTCTTTCCCCAGCTTGTGTTTACAAGCATAGATTACGATTAACATCATTCTCTCTACCCCAACAATTCGTAGGACAAGTTTACTGACGGAGACTCCACAACATCACATGGCTCTCCTACGACTTAACGGGGTGGTCTAATCCAAGTGGTGTCTAAATGATGTCCGAAGGTTGTCCATTTCCCCGCTTGTCGGCCTAGGAGGCTGTGGGCATGATGTTCCCCTCTCGGACCGCGCTATGATATCTAAAGAAACTTAAACCCCGCGCTTTCTTTATAAAGAGGTTACGTGCACGAGTCATGTATTGGGCCCCGGGAAATTGACCAGGTACCTCCTTTTTGATTGGTCAGCTGCACAGACGCTACCCTGGATTTCAACACAGCGTACTTATATGGGCACCTCGCCACCTAGGAGGTCGGCTAACCACGTGTCTAACGCATGGGATTGCCCGATTTTAAACTACCAGACATATTATTATCCTTGTTAACCTAGTTCTCGTTGTCACTGGTACTAGCTAACGACTTCAGTACATTAACCAGAACATGTTACAGAACGTGGCTAACCTCTACAGTATATAAGCACTATAGTATTATATACACAGGACTTGGGTTTTCATCCCACCCGAACGACCAGACAGCTGTCGCTTCCAGGCGCTCCGCCCTGCACCACTGACAAGGGGAAACAATGCCTGAAAATCACGATGAACACAAGACCTCTACATCAAAGTCTTACTCACATATCAAAGAGACAGTCTTAAAGTTAGAGTCAATGAGTAAATTAAAGGAATACTGTGGCTATATTATCATATTTACAAATCAAAGTTGAATATTAATTTTGGTTGTTATCGCGGTAGATTCAGTTGAGTATAAATAACATTTACTGATATACACAAATATTCGTCTTTTTGACTTGAATACTCGACAGAAGGCAAGTGACGTATTTGTGTACAATAATAGTATAGGGTCATTTCACTTTTGTAAATTTAATATTATACAGTCTAACTACACGTTTGAATATAAGAGCATCAGAAAAGGATACTCCGACAAAACATCGGCTGTTGCTTTCTGGAAGATTACAGCATGATACTCCATGCTGATGTCTGAAAACAATACTAAGTGAGTCCGTGCTTTACTCAGTGAGCAGCCAACCCCTTCCACTAGACTTCACACCTTCCTCCCCACGAACCTTCAACCAAGAGTCTACACCATGACGTTCTGGAAGATTACAGCATGATACTCCATGCTGATGTCTGGAAACAATACTAAGTGAGTCCGTGCTTTACTCAGTGAGCAGCCAACCCCTTCCACTAGACTTCACACCTTCCTCCCCACGAACCTTCAACCAAGAGTCTACACCATGACGTTCTGGAAGATTACAGCATGATACTCCATGCTGATGTCTGGAAACAATACTAAGTGAGTCCGTGCTTTACTCAGTGAGCAGCCAACCCCTTCCACTAGACTTCACACCTTCCTCCCCACGAACCTTCAACCAAGAGTCTACACCATGACGTTCGTCCAAAATAACTCTGTTTTTGGGGATTTTTTTTTACAGAAATGAAAGTAAAGCTAATCATGACATCTTGCCTGTTCAGCTTGCTAATGGTCGGATTTGTAGAAGGGAGGATTACTTGCTGCAATTTTACACAACGGATGCAGCGACCCTTTGAACTTAGCTTTTAAACAACGATTTCGACAAGCATGTGATAGACACGATCTCTGCTATACATGTGTAAGTTACAGTCTAATTAAATATATATATATAGAGAGAGAGAGAGGGAGATGGGGTTTAACGTCCACTCGACACAAACTAGGTCATTTCGGGACTAACATATGGTTTAATTTTATTTAAATAATTCGCTTGCGCATAGGGGTCTTTAGCAGTGGGAGGAAACCGGAGGACCCGGAGAGAACCCACGAGGTTGGACAGGCGACCCTACTCCTTGTCACGTACAACCGGGGATTCGAAACCACGCCAGTCGACTCAATGACAGACTTTATGATACAGCGCGCGCACGCAAACCATTCAGTCACCCAACCCCCCCTAATTAAATATAGATCACTCTTATTTTAATATTACCCATAATATTCTATATTAAAAACACGAATTAGAATTCAATATTGATCCATTTAAATCAATATTGATATTGTTATCTTAGCAAGAAACTATGGGCGTCCGATAGCCAACATTTAATACACAAAGAACAGTTTAAAACCAGTTGATGTGTCCGAGATCTCGAACGCTATTTGTAATTAGATGACTTAATGCACAAAAGTTTCGTCTTGTATACATGCAACCGATGAATTTTTGAATATGATGATTAAAGTAATGCTGTGGACATTCGGGGTTCGAAACTAACTTAAAAGTCGACTGGATGAATATTGACGATGGGATTTAAATTATTGTCTAATTATTATATAAGACTGTTGGTGTTGGGATATAAAACTGTTACAGCTAAACTTTGTAGATATTTTAATTATTTTTAGGCTTATCTTGTTGTTCTTGTTCTACTTCGTGGGAGATAACGCTCTTTGAAAAGGGCCGAAGGCTCCGCTAATGCAAGTACGATCAACTTGAAACTTGGCAATGGTGTTCCTTGGACAATCACGCATCGATAGACGGACTTTCGACTTCGTTTTGATGCCTCCATTCCAAAATTGTTGCCATGACGCCATACTGGATAATTGATTCCCCCATCCCGTTATCTCCATTATACTGAAATTTAATTTCTTTTTGGTGATCAGCTTGTCATTACCCACTTGTTTATTAAAAGTATAAGTTACCTATCGTCGTTGGATTTGAATTACCTTACCCCCTCCCCCCCCCCTCGAGAATAGAATTATCAATATTTCCCGGTTATCCCTTTGCCCGACTCAAATCTTGT